ATGTACCGCCTCTTAGCAGCTAAGAGCATCAAAGTGGCCGACATCCGCACAGTACGTACAGTGCGCGTCCGCCAGTGCGACTGGCCGACATCCGCCTAGATATCACTCGGTACACGCGGCGCGGCCTTAGCTCCATTTGGGCCCAATGACACTGCGGTTCGGATGGCCCAGGTGAGAAAGTTGGACCTTGGATTGGTCATCGGCGCGGATGGTTATTCTTAAGAGGAGACCCGCCCACTGTTTCCGATGTCTGGCCAAGAGTCATACGCAGCAGCGGTGTCTGTCCTTCGTGAACAGGACCCAATGCTACTTTAACGAGCCGGGTCATATATTGCCGATTGCCGACGAACGTCCTACTGTCCCTCTTGTGGCGTCCCGCCAACTACAAGATAGGAAGTCCATCCTGTGTAAACGTCAGGCCGCAAGTCCGTGCGCAGAATGGACATTACTTGGGAGATTACGGTCTCCCCAGGTAGTGATTTTACGCGAACCGTGCGGGTGTCGCCGGCCTCCGGGGGAGATGTTTCTTCTCCGGATACTTCGCGCGGTGAGGTATCTCTATCTCAGAGCATATTACGGGTAAGTCTCTCGAGAGTGGAGCCCGTGCCGCCCGCGCCATTGGAGGGGCTTCACATTTACTCGGGGACCCTTCGCCCGCTGGGAAGCTGCTTGGGCGGAAATAATTTCGTCTAGGCGCGCGCGGCACTCCTGCGCCAACGGAGCGCGGGGGCATTAAGTAATGCAGTGTATTGTCCCACTTTACTCTCCTCTGCTCCTATGGAGAGGCTCGACCCACAGTTGATGTATTTCGGCTGGGTCATAATGGTCTCCCCCATAAACCGGCGAATAAACTTTAGAATCTGCGCCGACTTGCGCTCACCTCCCGAGTTACTTCAGGTCGGTGTGAGTCGGCGCGGGAACAGAGAACGGTGAGGAGCTGCCGAGAGCGTGGTGCGATCTCGCTTCCACATTGCTCTCGTCGTTTACTGACGCGGGTTTGGAAGGAATGTTAACATGTGCCCAGGCTTGCGTCACAAAGTCAGAGTAGGACACAGCAGTTTTTAAGAGGCGGCTTTGGTTGGTCTCTTTGGGACGTGTCCAACTTTGTTGGGTATATCCATCAGGGGTCTTCTGGGACCGAATCTAATATGCCTCGGGTCTGACTAGCCTGAAGTATCTATGAAGATCTTCCTCTCTTACACAAAAAAAGGAGCTCTTTATGAGTTCTTAAATCAGTGCACTTTCGATTTATATGGTGTCAGGCCGACCGCCTGGAGGTTAATAAATATTATTGGCACAAATCTGGTACAAAAATATATAATCTTTAATTTTTTAGCTGCAACCCTTTAACAGGAAAATCACTCTCTGTCCTTTTCACGCTAGAGACAACTATGTTCCAGAATGGGAAAATAAATCACTTTCACACTAGAAAGAATCATAAGTATTATAAAATAGGGAAATAAGTCATTTTATAACAGAAAATTGTAAAAAGTCTTCCTTATTAAAAAAAAATTAGATGAATCGTAATATAACATTTCGTATAACTATTCACCTGAATCTTTTTGTTTTAATAAGTATAATAATATATAAGGATAAATAAAATGTCCCGGTCCGGTGAAATATCTTTAAAACTAAACATTTCCGGAAGAAATGTTTCTTACAAAAGTTGTAAGATTTTAATAGATGATCTGTTCACTGATCTGGTCAGTTTAATCTTAGCTGACGTCGCCAAAGTCAAGGTCATATCGATTTTTTTTAATGGCACACTCTGTTTTTGATTCCAGAATCTTATAGTTGGTATCAAGAACTAGTAGATTTCAAAACACTACAATAAAGTTATTTTTGATAAAATATTTTTCGAGGGGGAGGGGGGAGGGTAGCCGGACAAGAGAGGCAAGTTGTGACCGATCTGGAGACATGATTCTCAATATCAGCTGAACTGATCAAATTCTATATATGCTCAATCGATAGCTACTGCACGGATTGTACGAGGGCAAGTCAATAAATTTTTAGAAAAAGATAGTAAAACATTTTTTTTTATCGATTCATTTTTATTTCTCAACATAGTCTCCTTTCAGCTCAATACACTTGATCCAACGATTCTCCAACTTTTTCAAGCCGTCCGAATAATATGATTTGTCCAACTCTTCAAAATAAGCCTCTGTTTCGGCGATGAGCTGCTCTCTGGTGGTGAATTTCTTTCCTCCGAACCATTTTTTCAGATTTGGAAACAGGAAATAGTCGCAGGGAGCTAAATCTGGCGAATATGTTGGATGGAGAAGCAATTCGAAGTGGAATTCATTGAATTTGACCATCGATTCCGGGCACGTGTGAACTCGTGCATTGTCTTGATGGAAGAGCCCTTTCTTCTTTGCCAAATGGAGACGTTTTTTTCTTTAAAATGTTGAAACGGTCCAATAAGGCTGCATATTAATCGCCATTGATCGTTTGCTTCGACGGAAGGTAATCGATATACCGCGTGCATCCCATAAAACTGTGACCGTTATCTTTCCGGCCGACTTCACAGTCTTCGCCTTCTTCGGAGCTGGTTCACTCGGTGAAGTTCATTGTTTTGACTGTTCCTTCAGGTATCCGTCTCAGGTGTGAAGTAATGGATCCATGTTTCGTTCCACATAATGAATCAACGCAGAAATTCATCTGGATTACGTTGAAATATCTTCAAACATTATTTTGAAATCGTCACACGGTCGCGTTTATGATTCACAGTGAGCAAACGTGGCACCCATCTAGCTTTTTTGTATTCAATTGTTCGTGCAAAATTGAAATCACTGTGCTATGTGATATGCCTGTGGCTTCAACAGCTCACGCACTTTCACTCGTCGGTCAGTCAAAACAATATCATGGACTTTATCGATAATTTCTGGCGTAGCAGCCTCAATTGGACGTCTCGAACGAAGTGCATCACATGTGGATGTACGACCACATGTTTAAATTCATTCACACAATTGTATACAGTCGCAAACGCTGGTGCAGATGTGCTATGAACATTATCCAATTCGGTTTGATTTCTTTCGGTGTTAAACCTTTCATATGTAGATCACTGCAAGAAACTCGTTTTTTTCCATTTTGCAAAAAATATAAAGGTTGTTCGTCTACAGAAATGAAACCACGCGATGAATTCCGCTCAAAATTTGACAGTAATCAGCTGAAAGATGCTACTTGTCAAAAAGTAATGTGACATGACACTACGAGTATCCTCTAACAAATTTTCTAAGAACTTATTGACTTGCCTCGTATAATGAAAGTACTTTTATTTTTTTTCTATATGTCCTGCAAGCAGAGGTATTGCAAACCTCTGAATCTCTGAACTTGATCATCATTTTAAGAAACGTCGTCGATCAGCAGAATGTATAGCCGCAACGTCTGTCGCTAAATGACACTAGAAGTGCTAATCAGATGTCTGCCCGTTCGAGTTGTGACGTTTAGAGACTCATGGCGATATGTGCGGCGCGAGGCGTTTGCTAGGCAGTTTTCACTCTCGCACGCCAAACTATCGATATTCAGCACTTTAGATTAATATCTCGATTACGAAAATTGAAAAATGATCAAGAACTAAGCTAAGAAATGGTAATGATAAAGCGATTTATTCATTATTGATCTCTATTTATTAATAATAATATTTAACACAAAATAGTTATATATATTATAATGACAATTGCATTTATTACATAAAATGGTTATTTTTATTTATTATTCGTATCTTACATAACTTAAATGTATAAATAGTGATTGATTAAACATGTTTGACAACAATTTTGAAATTAGAAGTGCATAATGAATCTTTGGTATGTTATTAGTGATGATGTAAATATTAAAAAATTTAATGACTTCTTCATTTCATCAAAGAAAACTAACAATAAAATGATTCGCATGTTTACAATTTATTTAAAATTGAAGAGACTGTAGAAATTATTGTGAATACAACAAATGATCTGTTTTCTGTTCTTGCACTAGACTGTACTAGAACTCTTTTTTCACGTAATTGCGGATTATGTGAAAAATATTTGCCGTACATACGCAATCCCTAATAACTTTTGTTTCATCCGGACATCCGATACGGATTACGGATTATAGGCTACATGTGACAGCACGCTAACAGTGTGTTCAAGTCGGATTTCCGCATTAGCTTTCCATCCTTTGTTTAGTAATCCTTTGTTTAGCCGAGTGGCATTTTAAGATGTACACATTTTTTATTTTATTTTTTTTGTTATAATTTGAAATGATTTTAAAATATAACGTTTCTTGAAATTTAAAAGAACTGATCTGTGTGACGCCTTTCTTGTTCCTTCGAATTCTAATCCAGCCATAGCTTGGACAATGACCAAACAAATTTTGTTTATTAATTGTTATTTCTTATTGAAGTGGTGGAGGGAAAGAAGAGAATTGTGGGCGTGGGGAGGGAGGAGAGATGGGAATTGGTCTTCAATAACCGGAAGAATGGTTTTCTATATTTTATTTATGTTATTATAGCCATTATCTCTATTTAAATTGTTAGGGTGTTTTTGTATTTCTATGGCTTCTCTACACTTTCTTGGAAAGTATGATGTAATGTTAGTGGTCGTTTTGTCAAACAGTATTTGATGTCCTGTTTCGATGTTGTGTTCTGATAATGCTGACTGCGTGATATGTTTTAGCCTGACATCACGTTGGTGTTCTTTTATCCGTAGGTTGACCATTCTCCCGGTTTCTCCAATGTATACTTGTCCGCAGGAGAGGCAAGATATTCCTGTGGAGTAAAAATCTTTGATCTTTAGGATTTCTTAAGATTTGTCCTATTTTTTTGGATGGTTTGAAGTTAGTTCGGATAGTTATTGTGTTTGTTTAATATCCTGCCAATCCGATCTGTTGTTCCTTCGACGTATGGGAGAATGGAGAGGATTGTTTCGTCTGGTTGTCAGAGACCATTGTCTTGTTTACATGTTTATTAATTATTTGGTTGTCTTTTGGTTTGTCGTGTCCGTTTTTCTATGAGGCTAGTTTTAGGTGGTTGAGTTCTGTCTGTAGATATTTTTTGTCAGAGATGGTGAAAGCTCTATGTACAAGTGAATTGATTGCAGATTGTTTTTGTGCTGGTGATGATGCGACTCGGCACCACCATAGTAGGTATCTATCTGTGTGTGTTGTTTTCTGTACACTTGATGGCCTAAGGTACCATCAGCTTTCTCAGAGACAAGAACAGCTAAGAAGGAGAGTTTTCCGTTTTCCTCTATGTTTATAGTGAAGTTTAAATGTTGATTATTGAGGAAAATAAGGAATTTATGGAGTTCGGCTCTGCTGTGTCTCCACATCACGAATGTGTCGTCTATATAACGAAACAAAACTTTTGGTTTTTTGGATGTTTTTCTGAGGACCTCTTTCTCAAAAAGCTCCATGAAGATATTGGCGATTATAAGAAAAATAGGAGAACCCATTGCCGCTGCTGATGTTTGTTTATAAAATTAGTTGTTATAGGAGAAGTAAGTAATTGTTAAGCAATGCTCTATTAGCGGGATGAGATCGGAGGGGACTTCATGTGAGGCCTTTATTATATTTAATGTGTCTTTTATTGGGACTTTTGTGAAAAAGGATTTTACATCGAAACTTACAAGCAGGTCTGTGGGATGTACTCGGATTTTTTGGATCTTTTGTATGAAGTCTGTTCATACAAAATCATCATCGGGGTAGGCTCCCTTCATTGATATATTTATCGTAATTTTTTCTTCATTTGTTTTTTCGTTGACTTTTTAATATTTCAGTTATTTTTCTTGATTCTTTTCTTTCATCGCTTTTATATTCTTTTTCGTTTATTATATCAGCAGAAAAAATTTTTGTAGACGGGTCATGGATGATACCATTAGTTGATATTATTAATTTATGCAATTCATTTTTTATAATAATAAAAATTAATAATAGAATAATATTTTCAGAAATACGCATAATGTAGAATGTATATTTTTCATAATAAGATAGCGGTCTTATAAGATAATGTATATAATAGTGTTTTTTTGTAAATAAATGGTTATGTAAATATTATTTTTAGTACAAACGTAAGGGAGAAATTAAATGCAATACTGGTTATCTAAATCATACTTTTTGTAACATATTACAAAAAGATTTATAACAAATTAATTTGTTTTTGGTGAAAAGTTAAACATATAATAATAAGCGTTCGAAACCTCAAGCTACAATTTCTAATGTTCATTTATGTACAAAACAATGCTAAAGGGAAAGTATAATAAAGAATTGATTAAATGGTACTCATTCGTCAATGGTACTCTTTCTTGATAATAATTTACCGCTTATAGCAAAAATTTTAGCCTTTGTTTCTTGTTGTATTTTAAAATCTTTCCTATTAATTTTGTTATTCCGCCTACACGTCTAGCTACTTTTCTTTAATATAACTGACAGTTTCACTACGTCTTTTTTCTCATTTTGAAGCTACTAAATTAAAGTAAATTTTTTTAACCTTTCCTGGTCACACTTGGTGGTCACATAATAGATACTCTGAATTAAAATGATCCTAACCATCTTTAAATCTGTTATCAAATCAACAGACAATAGTATTAATTCCACAAACTTATATAAATAGACTGCTGACTCAATGTGATAGAAAGAGATGAATCCGATTCCGAACTGTCCTTGTTTTACTTCCCATATGCGTATGTATGCGTCCTGTTTGTGAATATTGTGAATTTGTCCATGTAATTTATACATGTGTGAGTGAGAGAACTCCAATATGGCGTTGCCTCTGCTGTCTTCAAATATGGAAGCGAAGCTCTTTGGATTATTTATAAAAGTTTATGATAGAACTATTTATAAAAGTCTGTGATTTGTTCAAATAATTTTCAAAAATTATGATATATAATTTCATCCTTTTAGAAAATGGAACAATAGCGTTTTAGTGAAAAATTTAATTTTAATCTTAAAAAAAATCGTAAATATGTTAAGTTCGGAAAAATGTGCTTTATTAAAAATATAACTTAAAAAATTATAATTTTTTAAATTTATAATTAAAATTATAAGAAAACGGCTCAAATAATTAAATTCAACACATATAAGGAGCTACGAGTCAATATAATATATTTGTTACAATATTCAAGATAATTATAAACATAGAAATTTGCTGACAAAATTTAATCACAAATATAACAAAACGTTTCGGCTTATTATGAGGTCATCTTTAAGTTGTTAACATAAAAATTAAAATATGTACGAAATTATTTTAAAAACGCAAATGTAGAAAGAAGAAATTTATGGTAATTACGATACATAGATGTGATTCGGTGGCAATTCATCATATCATAACGTTATAACGTAATGTTCCAAAGAAAGTGATAGACGTTACTTGTAATGCTATGCACTCGCATTTCGGAAGATACATCCAAGAATTGTACTGTTACAGTTTAACTGTTATAATTGATAGATAACATTACACAAACTAATTTTAATTTCTGACTTATCTGTGTAATATTATATGTAATATTATATATAACGAGATTGTAATATTTCAACTAACAGACAATGAAATCTCGTTTATACAAATAAGCAAGATTACAGTTTAATTAGATAATAAATATATCTCAAATTGAATAATATTTTAATGAATTAATATTCTAATGAATTTTTTTTTTGTATATTCACTGTCAATATTCTAATTCACAAGCGATCTTAAAGACAAACCACAGCGATTAACTTCGCTGGTTATAATACACTGGCATATCTTACAGTTTCCATTAAGGATGAGATCTTTTCTACACATCTATCACATAAATTACATGTTGTGCACAAGTTGTAAATCATAAGTGTAGAAAGTTAAAAAGAAATCAAGAAAATTTGATGTATTATGTTAATAATAAATAGATTTTCTCAAAATTAATAAAATAATGTTTGTAGAATACAAATTAAACGACGTTTAAGTTTTTAATGACTCAATAATTTTATTTTAATTAATATTCTTACTTTGAACCTTCTGTCATATTTTTTCACGAAAAATTTATATTTAAGCTTATCTTTCTTCGTTCCTTATGTCCGAAGAGAAGATTGCAGCTTCCTATTTCTGCTGTCTCTTTCGAGCACTTCTTGAAATACTTCTTGAAAGTTAATATTACTTGTAATGAAAGATTGATATTACCTGTCTATGTACTAATATTACAGCTTCTTCAATTGATAAATAACTGTAATTCATAACATAAACTGTTATTCAAATGTTCCTGTATCCATATGGGTAATTTGCGCTTATCTAATCTTGAAAAAATTTTTACAGTAGTGTAAGCGTGAAAAAGTCATTGTATTGCAAAATGTAGAAATATTTTTATGAATACGTATGACAGATTGTTTTCCAAAGAAGTTTATCTTATTCGCGAACACCATGATATCATAATCCATTCTTCTTTTGATCGTATTCTATTACGCCGTGTCTTATGATGTCTAAAGTTAAAAAATTGTTCTCTCAGATCTGAAAAGACATTAGAGAAACATTTATATATTTTGTTCAAGTAAGTAGAAACATTATATGAGTAGATTATTTATTCTAATATACAAAATAATTATAAAATATAATATTTACTTACGTACATACTCACTTACTTACATCTTGTATATTTTGATTTCGTCATCTCGTTGACAGCTATCCTAACCACTTCGCACAGTAACTCGCATTTTGACAATTTCGCCGCGTTTCGAAAACCATAAAAAAAAACGTGTTGCAATCTTTTAATCCCTGACTGTACAATTTCAGTTTTACACTTCAGGTTGTTGGTACACAAGACCTGTGACGTAAACTATAGATGTGACGTACACAAGATCTGTGACGTAAACTATAGATTTTCAACTGGTAATAAAAGGTCACAGTATAACCAGTAGGGACACTTCGGCACCTTTGATCTCCATGTCACGTGAGCATCCGCCATGTTAACATTTACATTATGTCATGTACATACATTACACATACATACTGTCATTACACATACATTACATGTCGTTTTACATTTCATTGAATCCGGCTCAAAACGAAAGCTATATCTGCGCGGATTCGCATTTTTTCGCAAGTGTCCCTACTGGTTATATTGAGATTTATGTTGTGTGCATTATAGATTTTCAGTATTGGCAGTAAATTTTTGAATCTAGCCTCAGTTTTACACTTCACATTTGAAACATTTTGCGCGCGCGTTTCGATGTGTTTCCGGTTTTGCCTCTTCACGCTTTGTTGACCGACTCTTGCATACAGAACGCGGCAATGTTTCTCGCGCGACGGAAATTGTCGCACCAATAATTTTATATTCTAATGGCTCCTGCACACAGAACGCGGCAACGCTTGCTGCGCGGCGGAAATTGTCGTACTAGCCTATTGTAAAAGAGAAATTTGTAAAAGAGACGCGGAATTTTCCTGAAGAATTTAACGAGAAAGCAAGTACGGACATATTCGTTCATGTTCGTATACGGGTTGCCGGCCGGATCGCGATAGCAGCGATCGCGTAGTATAGCGCGACGAATCAGGCGGGGCGATTCTGAACGAGCCAATAGGAGAGAACGGAATGGCGTGCGTTGCTATCGTGAGGCAAGGAAGCAGTCCTTGGCAGCGGAAGGTTCGGGAAGAGATCGCGTTTTTCGAGGTCGGAAGAAAAATAAAGTACATATATATCCAAGATCTTCTTCTCTTTGATTAAAAATTTTGAGCCTTTCTCCTACATTTATGAGAAGTGGCATTTACTCGCAAACGGGCTGTCCGACAGTTTATGTGATTACGGGAGAATACTATATAGCCTTATTTCGTTAGTGAAGTGGTGGTGAGTGAAAAAAGACTGTACGAGTTATGGCGGACGAAGACTTTCGAGTAACGCAATTGAAAGCAATTCTGAAGCAATTAAAATTGTCACTAGCGAGAAATAACGCAACGCTGTTAAAAAGATTGTACCAACATGACCCGAGTGGATTATGGAGGGAGATAGCAAGAAATGTGCAAGTGGAGAAGAAAATCAACAGCCGATTCAGGACGAGCTGTTGGATTGAATTAGCGGCAGGAGGGGAGAAACGAGCAATTCCGACAGACGTGACGAGACAAGATCATGCAGTTCGGGAGAATGTGATTGTAAGCCTCACTAGAGATCTAGAGCGTATGAGATGCGAGAATGATCTTATGCTATTGTGAATGGAAGATTTACGATTAGAAAGAGCCGAGAGAGATAGGCCAGCGATAACGTCGGCGAGGAATGACGGCCCACCGGCGACAACACGGCCCACTATTTCTGCGTTAGAACTTCTTAACGAATTTATGGGTGCCGAAAACACATTCTGGAGCTGGAAAAGGCAGTTTGAGCTTGTGCGTGCTACGTACCAACTTGACAATAACATGCGAATTTTAATAGGGATGAAACTTAAGTGGCGAACTTTGCAGTGATTTCACTCAAGACTAGAGCATCTGGAGATGCCGGTA